CCTGGTACTTATTATTCTCTTCACGGAAAGACAGGAATACTGCTGCCATGCATGTTAAAAGAGTGTGGGCCGACTCCGCTAATGGAACGTGATTCGCATCCAAATGCCTCCCAGTTTTATTTCTTTGGGTTCACTCTGTATATGGAGTGTGTGGATGGAGCTGTGGGTGGTGCAGTGCAAGCCACCTATTGTCCCTCTGTATGCGCAGACGTCCTGTAGCTGTCCTATGGAGGCTGCAGTGACAGGCGAATTCGGAACCGGATGCCGCCAACCTATATCGCAAGTGATAGTTCCAGAAGGATGAACTATTTATGATTCCAGTTCGATATGTTCAAACCATTGCCAGGCATGAACGTCATCGTGCTCACTGCATTGATTACAATTCAAATAGGCAATGGAGAAATAGAACAATGACGTATTTCAAGCAAAAGTCAATACATAACAAGGCCCTTGCTGTGGTCAGGATTCCAAACACGAACAGAAAACGAACAACTGCAGGAAGAAGCATTTTGGTTGATGCACCATCTTGTTCAAATAATGATATTTGGAGTAATGCTGATGCATGCACCGCTTATCACTTTATGTCTTCTCCCGTTGCACAGAGTCCAGATTTCGTACCACATTGGTAGTAGGACAAAGACAGAGCGTTTCTTGAACACATGTTGAGGAAGGCGGAACGCGAGTAAATGGAAATGATATTCCGTGGCTTACACGCAAAAAACACGAAAGTGCTTCCGGTGGTAATCCCGCCAAATGAAGTAAATGGTCAGCTTGAGCTGTTGAAATCTCCCGTAGGTGTTGCAAATAAGTTGCAAAAGGTGGTAACAAAGGTGTATGTGGTTTGTCATAATCTGGCGGTCCATTTTGAATTCGCTAGTAAGGCCGATACTGACAGTTTTACATTCTCGGTACCCTCAGCTTGCGTGATTTGAAGTTTGAACAAACCAGTTATGTCCATGGTCGTTCTTCGTTGTGTACTCTCGTGTGTTTCAGGATTTTACTTCTGTCAGGATCCCAACAGTAAGCTATTGGAAATTGTGCAACACCTAGTCATAACCATATCCGAACATCATCCGCACACTGTACACAAGTATAAGCGATACTTGCTTAGTTCCCATTGAGAACAAAGGATGGGGGCGGCCTCAGCACAGACAGTTGTGGAACTCCGCATTTGACACGACGGATGGAACAAGTAATTCCAGACATAAACCGGTAGTTTCTGCTGATTCAAGAAGTTCCCGATTCACCCAAGGACAAGGTCTCTGAGTATTCGTCTTCGGTACATTTGAGGAACTACACAGAAATACAACGCGTCGAAAGCTCTGATAAAGTTATGCCGGTACCATCTAACTACACCACGCAATCAGCAGGTTTAGCCACCGGAAGTAAACCAGCATAGTGCTTTTACTTTTATAGTTAAGCAATATTCGTGTAATGTCTACGCAGTAATTTTTGCTCGGGCTCAATCCACTTCATTCAGTATAACTGGAGAGGTGTCTGCTTGAAAACATTTAGTTAATCAGTACAACTGCTTAAGGTACAAATCGCAAGGAGATTTTCTGCTTTCAAAGCCATTTGTAAAATCTTTCGAATACAGGACACCGAAATTATGAGACTGAACATATTTGCAGTATGACGATTGAATTTTTGTGGGTTGAATTGCTCTTCAATGTAGACTACGGTGCTATTCCATTATATCCTGAAACATTTTGCCAGTTCACGTTTGACAGAGTACACACAAAAAGCACTCAGGTGGCCGATTGCACAGAAAAGCATGCATGCATGAGAATGAAATTCCAACTTGTTCAATATTGGAAGCTATTGTTCAGCCAGATATACGTGTGAAACCCGGAAGCATTGTACCCTTCTGATTACAAAACCAAAGACCATGTGTTCTTCAGCTCACAAGTATCTGAACCGATTTGCTCTCTACATGGAAACTCAGCGGCACGAACAAGTGATGTCGGGAAACGCCATGCCACCGAATGCATACCCTTGCTGAACCCGTTAACTCGAGCAAAATGAAATGTAGTTCACGTTCTCTGCTTGATTTACTCAACTGTTTTCATGTTTTCTCCTTTCAGCAAAACGCTTTCGTCCGCATTTCACTAAAGTTCCGCCCACCAGACAGATTGTCCCCCCTGGTGGACGATTGGCACTCACCTGTACGGCTGTTGGAGCTCCTGCACCCAGAGTGGATTGGTACCATGGGAATCGGCGATTTGCGCATGAGCAGGTTGAGCAAAATACACCAGGATCTGCGCGTATACTATTACTCGACCTGTCCGAGTCGATAAATGTCACATGTGTGGCCGAGTCATCGATGGGTCGTGTCCACCATGAAGTGCAAGTTGTTGTGAAAAGTAAGTGCAAAGTTGAATTGACTAACTTATAAAGCCTGACACCTAAGGATTTAGTTCAGGAAACGCCAGTGGAGTCAAGGTTGCTTTTACATAAGCAATGAGCAATAATTTATCACTTTTATAAATTAAGCGTGCATCGGGCTCCGCATAAATACCCAGTGGTGCAAGTGCTAACAAGAACATTTTAAGTGAATCGCCAAACGATTCATTTAAACACAGATACATGTTTACCAGCCCCAGTTTTCCGGAATAATCTATTGTGTAGCATTGTTTGCGTGATTTTAGCATCCGATTGAAACACGTTGAATTACATAATGCAAGTGGGATAGTGTATTGTCAAATGTGGTAGGTGCGATACTTGAACATACAAAACGTTTTCCTTACCAGCAGTTGTGTGCTCTAGTTTTATGAGACAAGTTATGTGACAAGTTATGAGTTTGTCTAACCAGAACATGTGAAGCAATTCCACTCAACGGTTTGAAAAGCGCGATGAGAAGATGAAAGCTATTGATATCACATCTTCGGTGTCATTAGCAGTTGCTGATAGGCAATCATGCAACAAGCTATAGGTATAACCAAAACAATTGTCTTGTAAATGCTGTTACTATGTCAAAGGCAGTCTAAGGTTGATAACTACTCGCTCCTGAAATTACACATCTGGTTCCATCCGGCTTATTATGCTATGTTCAGTGATATGAATGAAGCGGGTGATTATAATGATGTAACAGCTTCTAACACTGATCTGAGCTCCGTAGTATGCGGCCACAAAGGACGAACACCGCGGCACTGTCCCGAGCCACGAGTTGGGTCAACAGTAGGTCTCGCGGAAAGCTGGCCGATTCAGTTCGCCATCCACGATACATGTTGGAACGCCATCCATCGCAGCTGACAGAAACAGTCCATCATCGTTGTGCCCATTGTCACGGCGCAGGTGTGAGCACGTTTTTACGGTCAGACAATAGGAAAGGTTATCACGTTCCGGAGCGACAATCGGCTAAGCAGCGTAGTCGGAGGTCAGCAAATGTGACCTATACATTTAGCCATGCTCTGTCCATAACACCCGGTCTAGCAGCTCTAGTCTATTTTTAGGCGCTGAGATTGAGTCGTCCCAAGCAGAGAGTATACAGGTCGAGGTTAGAACACTGTGCGCGTAGTCGTGATAAGCAATTGTCTATTTGTAGAAAGTAGAAGTCACGATTGAAATTCACGCACAATAATGTGCCTCGGCGGGGAATCGAACACCGGTCCACGAATTTCCGGTCCGCTGCTCTACCACTGATCGCGACTTCTACTTTCTACAAAATTTACATTACTCACAAACATCTAAAATTATTCTACCATCGTCGATTGGACATCCGAAGGACAGGTACTTCAGTCCATTGGGAAGTGACGGGTGAGTGAGCCAATCTGCAACACCAGGACAAGTACTGTGAGCTCATTGGCAATACGTCGCGCACCAAGCAGAATTCGTGTTTTAAAATTTGCGCACCTAATCGTCAGCCCTCGGTAGCTCCGTGGTAGAGCAGCGGACCGGAAATTCTTGGACCGGGGTTCGATACCCCGCCGAGGCACATTATTGTGCGTGAATTTTAATCGTGAATTCTACTTTCTACAAACTTTACACCACTCACAAACATCCAAAATTAATTGTCTATTTATCAAGGCATCTGGTAGCTTGCACCAGCACGGAGGTTAAGAGGAGCAAGGAAAGCGAACAATTTCAGTTTTGACCTATCCTGATATATGTACCTATTAGTTGTTGAGGGTCATTTTGAAGTACACGTTATGTGGATGGATTGCGAAGCGCAATGTTGACCGCGATTCCCATTGAAGTGAACCTTGGTCTTTTGATCACGAGGACCATAGTTGATTCAAATAGAAATTGGGTGTAACCCACCCGAAAACACTGCACTACCTATCAGTACTTGGCTCAGCTATGTTATACGAGCAAAAGATGAAGAATAGACATAACACGCTACAAATCGAAAAAAAGCACAAAATATTAGGTTGGTAGTAAACTTATTGCGGTTTTTAAACTTAACTTTAAATGCACATGCTTTGCCTAAACGTAATATTTTCATTCGAATTAAAAACCATTTGAACGGACACACTTGTGCCAACGGGAACCAAGTTTATCTATTCCGGGTGAATAAAATTCCCGAGTTCTGGTTGCGATGAAATTTTCGAAGGTGGTTTCGGCATCCCGTTGGGTTGTAAAAGGTTTCTTTCTGAGGAAAATATCCAGGTGCTTGCAACTTTGTAATGGCTAGATGATGGATCAAGAGAGAATGGTGGGCGAGGCAGCTCCCGTAGGGTTGTTTGTGCGACGTACGGTCAAGCATTACCATGCAGGAGAATTAGCCCCGCGCACCTGTGTTGAAGTTTTCGGTGCATTTCGAAAATTTGTTGACAATCGCCGCTGTAATAGTTTTCCTTGGATACAGAAAGTTGTAATGTAGCAGACCAGCCGCAGACAATCACACATGCACCATAGCGATATTTTGGGTGCAAATCCCGTTTTTGAAAGAGTTATGGATCTTGAGCGTGAACCAACCAGTGCGAGGTTTGTCGTCGATTATCGTAGGGGAAACAAATTTCATCGCAAGCCCAATCCGGTTCAGAAACGCGTCGTATTTTTACCCACAAGAAGGCAGACGACACTTCAAGAGGACGATTTCTTTGCTTCGCATTCAATTCGTGCGTCACCCACTTAGGAAGCTTTTTCGACATTCCAATCCCCCGTAAATATTTTAAAGCGGTCGCGTGCGATAATACCAGGTCAGCAGCAGAATCTCGATTAGTTTTGCTATGATCCGCTTTAAATACTGCCCTCAATTGACCACTGTTCACTTATAATGGTCGTCCGCAACGCCCTTCATCTCCAAGTTTCTCATAACCCATTTGAAAATTTAGAAACCGCCATTGGCATTCCAGTTATTAATGGTTACTGCACCGAATACATTGCTGATGCCATTGGCTGTTTGCGCTGCATTTTGAGCAAGGTTAAATTGATACAAATTACGCGAATTTTCTTCTCTTCATTTTGTATTAAATGTTCTGTAATGAACTAAAAGTGTGTTTCTGAGCTAAAATATCAATAGTGCAGAATAGAGCGCAGAACACGCTTCAAAAAGATATACAAGTTAAAAGTGACTTATTAAAATGTTTTAAACAGCACAGTTGTTAAAATAAAAATCTAAGAAAACCGCACTAACCTAGTTACAAACTAAACATATCGAGCAAACAATGACCGCAATTAATGATGCCCAAGCCCATCGCTAATCAAGCTGGTTTAATTATTTTAGATTTTTTCGAGTTATACTAAAGTTTTACTGTATCAAACGGGTATTGTGCTCATCGACGTTTTGTTGGGCAAATGTTTCATGAATTTGATGAGCAAAAAGTTCCTCATGCGGATGAATAGTTAACCAATGAATACCGAATATTTATTCGGTGAATATTTGCGTAAATTTCTGGACTATCAAGTACTTTTTTGCACAGCATGTCACCAGTAATTCTGTCAGTGATGACACGTGTGTAGAGAGCATTGTCAATGAAGCAGCTCACCTTTCCAGTGAACGGAAATTGAGAAAATTTGAAGGAAATAAAATAGCGATTCTTATACCTTCTATAACGACGAGTATAACCAAGTGTATATTATTGTGGTGGTACCATGCACTTCATCGACACTTTCCACACTGAACTGTAGGTTTAGTACACAGAAAAACCTGGTGCATTCCAGCTGCATGCAATTGTCTTAACTAGATGGACTGTAAAATGACATTTGTATCCCTCTACAGCGGTACATTCTTGCCTATCTGACTGCACACACAGATGTGCGTAAAATCTCCATCCTGAAATATTATTCACATTCTGTTCCTTGTTGCTTTTGAATCACGCATATTGTGATCGGCTTATATCTTACAGGCTGATTTCCACAGTGCATAAGTTAATAAGCAGCACAGATTACGTCAACCACAGTATTGTCCTAGAACAAATATAGCAATAATACCCACGGTTTCACGTTTAATGTATCTTTTCCAGTAGTCATATGACAAATTAAAAATCACATTACTCTTATGCGTCCTTGTCACAGTGTCCATTCGCTTTCAGCCCTTCCGCAACCTCCTGGTCAACCTTCCCTCGTTGATGTGGGATCAACGTTTGCTCGCCTGGCTTTTACTCCTAGTCCAAGTCAACCGATCTGGAAATACCTACTGTTCTGGATAGAAACAAAATATTATGATGATCGATTGTTACAGATTATGCCGCATAAAGCGGCCAGCTTGCTTAATACGATCATCGTGCACGAAGGGCCACCATCTGGTTGGACAAACGCTGTAAGTCGCTTGAGTACTTCGCTATCTCACACACCCGCTGTCATTTTCAAGTTGACTTCCAGCTGGGAAACAACGACTGGCAATTAGTCACGCCATTAAGCAATTTGCTGTCGAAATCGCGTGAATATACACGGTGTGATAATACTGGATCTATTAGGTGTCTGAGCTGACGAAGCTTTGGAAGCTGGCATTTATCCTATTAGCTGCTGCAACTTGCGCGGCTCCATGGTTTTATTCATTACTTTCGTTGCTTATTCGGTCACAAAGTCACAATCGTGCAGTCGCAGTTACAATGACTTTGGTCGTAGTTTGACGAAAACTCTACTCAGGTTTGATGTATAGAAAATATCATCTGACAAAGTAGTTTGTACTCTCAGTGCACTGATTTTCGCATCTATGTTGTATTCTCGCTTATTAGCCCTAATGTCTGAAAATGCGAACAAATTTAGATATCATCCGTTTGTTTGAAAGCGTCTCTTATAAGTTCCAGATATTTGTGGATCATTCCGAAGTTTCATTCATCCTTAAGCAGATGTTGACCAGGCGAAAAAACCGCTCCTTAACTGAGCACAAAACTCACTTCTCCCAGTGTGGTGGGAGCGGAGGCGTAGTCTAGGGGGGCTGGGGGAGAGCGTGGGGCGGCATGTGACAGACGGCGGCAATTTTAGCACAGTTGATTGTTCAATACGAAGCATAAATTCACCAGAATTAGTCCCTAGACTGAAGTAGTAAAAATGTATTGTGATAATCATACCGAAATTGAAGATGCTATTGGTATTGCAAACGTTGATTTCCCGACAACAAAAGGCGACATTGACAGCATGGAGGCAGCGGAAAATGTTTGCAATGCTAATGCAGATGCGTGCGAAGTTGAAGAACTGGAAATGCAACCACCTATTGGCAGGATAACACTCACAACAACCAATTTTATGAATGCCTGTCAGTGGCCTGTTCACCTTGGCCATGCCATTCTCACTATGCTTGTTCGCCTCGGATCTGTTGTCGTGCAGCACGTCCATCAGGAATTCAAGTAGTGGGGCTTCCTGAAACGAATTCAAAAGCTGAGGCTAGGAAGCTAACAACGAAATGGCTTTTTCGGGATTTGCAAAACATTCAGCTTAGTTTGAAAACTCGGATGGTGTATTCTCCCTTGAAAACAGTCCTATTTTGGAATGTTTCGTTGTAGCTCTCTCCCATCCCCGCATTCCACGACCGACGATTTTGTTCTGGTCTAGACTTATCAGGTAGAAATAGCAAAGCTGTGAGTGGAACGCAGCGTATAGTGCTTGGCGCTTACCGCTATGATCAATAGGACATTGAGTTCGGTGTGTCAAGCACTGCTGGTGGAGCTCAATGCCTAGTGATCATGGCGACAGCTGCCAAATAGTATTCGACGAGTTCCATTCCCAACTCCGCTATCCCTACCTGATGAGTCCAAACCAGGACGGCACGGTCAGTCGTGGAGTGCAGGTATAGGAGCGAGCCACTCCGAATCCCTCCATTCGGTGACGGTCCCAGTGATCATATTTGCAGAGGTTAACTTCCAATTTATCCGAGGCCACAACTGAGATTGCTTGTCGCAATCCGAAGCACGCGGCGAGTGCTCCAATATCCGAAAATTGAGGTCCTGTTTTGATTCGGCCGCAGGATGTTTGCAACTGCAAATTATAGTTTTTCGACTGATGAGGGTTTCAGAAACTGGTGGTAACTAAATCCAAATGCATGTGAACGCGAATCTAGTAAGTCGCGTTCTCAGCCATTCCTCAACCAAAAGGCGCTAGCGATTTTTATGTTTGAAAGAAAGGCAACTGACAAAATGGAGGTAGCAGGAGTAGAAAAGGGGCGGCGTGATGTTGTAGGTAGGATACATTACATTGTCAGATTTCTCGCCAATGAAACATGATACTGTGGGGTCACCGAGAAGATATTCAGGATGACAGAGGTCGGGAAACTAGAGGGAATTTTCTGAATTTGTATGTTTATTGACCAAATATGAACCGGTTCTTCGTAAACATTTGGTGACAGCTCAGTTGGGAACGAAAATCGGCACATTTTCTTTGTGGACACAATTCCAAAATGAATTTGAGAGCATTTTGGTAGAGCAGGTGAGAAAGCAAATCACAAAGCAGTCAACGAAATCAAGTATGTTCGCTTGATTTTCGAAAGCACTCGCAATGTGTATCTCACCGAAGTCAGATGAGTGAAAATGAAATGACGGTAGAGCATTCGTTTCACAGTTTCATTGCTGCTAACAGCAAAAGAGCGGAGAAAATTTTCGGACTGCTTATGAGAGAATTGGAGAAGAATGAAATACATATTGATGACTGCTGTGAGCAAGGCATTCGACAATGCTGTGCTACCGATCATTGTCCAGTGACGCATCTGTGAAATCAACCCAAAAGCTACATTTGTGCCATGCACAAACAATTCCCTGAATCTGGCTTATGTGCAGCAAACTTCATACATTCCTTAACATTTTTAGTACGATGGACCGGCTGTTCTCATTATATTTATTTTACCTAAATACTGCTCGAATATCTTGCTTCAATTAACCGATCGAATTATCAAGTGGACTAGTCGAGCAGGCACTGTAAATGTTATGGTGAAGGAGTGCTTGGCACCCGTCACTTCTCTGAAACATTTCACAAAATAAGGAGAAAATACAACCACAAGGTCAAACGCATCTTCAATTCTCATCTCGGTATTGCCGTTTCCGTCTATGCTGTTTCTGAACATTTGAATATCTGTTCTCATAGAATGCAAGGATGCACCGATATGTCTAAACAATAGAGCTGGATCTGCTGCAAAGTGGTGCCAAGCTTGCAACGTTAAGAATTGGACTTCTTCAGAATAGAGAGAAAATAGTGGATATTAAAAATGATAAATGCAAAAGCACAACACTGAACTTAGGATAAGCATGAAGCGTCGAATCTGACAAAAGAAACGAACGGACGGTGAATAATTGTATGATAAATCAATGGATTTTGACACAGTTAAAACGTGAAATACTCTCTGTCTTATACAATCTGTCTGATGAAATGCCATGAACATTAGAATCAGCATTATTTTGCGTACAGATATAATTTCTTACACCGTCAAATCTGCTTGATGATAAATATGGTCATCCGCTTAGCGAATTTGATGAAGATATGGAATACAGGAAATGTTTTTTATCAAGGTGACGATTGTGGTATTTTGTGAAAGTTTCAGAACACGACAAAAGTAATGCATCTTTTGAAATTTTCAGCTTCATAGAGATAGTCACCCAGGAGAACCTTCTGTGCATCTTTCTTATCCGTACGATTAGTATTTCCAACTGTGAGAGCGCACTCTCAAAACGCAAACTTATAGCGAACTACTTACAATCATCAATGAACCAGATAAGACTCGCGGAGTGACAGTTCTTCCCATTGAGAGGGAACTTGCTGATAGACTGGATATGACAATGTTCTTAGTATCAGTGCTTCGAATAATGCCCGAAAAGTGCATCTGTAACATTTATTCACATTATTGTCGCAGTGTAACTGCTTGCATTTACGACAGAATTCTAAAATTAGATCTTTGATTGTTTTTATTTGGAAGGGAATATTTAAGGGTTGTTCGCAATTGTGTCCGCCCCAGGAGGCAAAAGTAGTTGCTACGTCACTGGGTGGGAGACCATTGAATCACATCATCTATGCTTTGTGAAAACTGTGGTAAATCATTTCATAGAATTCGCTTTTGGATGAAGTTGCTTGTAGGTACTTAGAACCGATTGTAACCTCTACGACCTCGTTCATCGAAAGTGATGTGCTGAGGCTGGGTGATCACAAATCTAACCACAGTAGACGTATGCATACAGAACATGAACTTAAAGCTATCACTTTTAGTTACCATATTAACTGCGTCTAACAGACTTCAGCTACCGGATCACTGAAGCTTCAATAAAATGAAGCAGGCGAGCATGGCTATTTTGATTAATTATCCTGAGCGATTCGCAAGGGTTTTCGCATGTGTAGCAGTGTAAGATATTCTGCAACATGCAGCTACTCGACAGCTTGTGACCATATGCAACCTTAGCATGAAAACTTCTCACGGGAATTCTGGCCAACAGCTTTCTCTCAGTTTGATAAACGCAATTGAAATCCTAAGTATAATGAAGAAAGCAAACACATAATGCGGTAACTTTAGAGTATGGCATGTTTTAGCTGGCCTTGCATAAAAGATTCCAAAGTTGGTGCAATCCCACTTGCTACCACCAAACAATAATAAAATGAAAAATTATGCTGTTAAATAAACCTAATCTTTGCCAGTTCCACATGAACACTTTCGTGTTTCGATTTAAGCTGAAGTTTTTGTTTCTGTGGAAAACCGTGAATACAACCTGGATAACTGAGCATTCCACAAGGCTCACAACAGGAAGTGAAAAAGAAACAATAAAACTTATAAGCTATTTTTCACTACCTTGGAGTAACTTTTGCACGCGCGGAAATCAAAGATTTCCGTTTGCGGAAACGCATTCGTGCTTCACATAGATCAGCTGCAACGTGAGTACGATGCTAAATATATCCCACTGAGTCTTATTACCAAGTACCGATTTTGTTTGCTCCCACATCCGTTACTCTCTTAAATTTAAACTCGCATAGCTGCTCGCAAAAACACATTACCATAATTTTATCAATTAAATGAGACGATTTCATCCAGGCAAGCATTGTTCTTCATAAGAGACCTGCAATGTGCACTAACTTAGAAATGAAATCAAAAAATTCCTGGGCAGTTCACCTATCATACCTATTTCTAGCGGACTTTGGCTCAACAGGAATTGCTGTAGATAGGGACAATAAGAACTGCTTGTGATCAAGGGATTTCGGATGCCATTCGGAGGGCATTAACTCAGGAGAGAATAACCTTGTTTTTAAAAAGTCCAGTTTCCAATCTTTCCACATGAAAACTTGTAAAGATCGCTCCACTTCAAGAAGAAGGACGCAGGACTGAACCATTGCCCTGTATCTCCTCTTTCGGTGTTGTTCAAGATCATGGAATACAAAAGTACCGATGTCTTGGGGAACTATACGGAAAAATCCAACCTCATTGATTTTGAGGAGTCT